TTCGGTAACACTTCAATAACTAAAATACTAAAACAGAATTTTAAGTAATGAAAATTCAAAAAATAATTTCTAAAAACTAAAATTAATTTTCTGACAAAATTTAGAAAATAATATTCTGGTTGGAAAAACAAATAGTGATTATATCCTATTTGACAGATAGTAGTAATATATTGCCTATTCTCTTTGACAACTAGTAGTACGATCCAATTTCTGTCTTAAGATTGTTGGAACAATCTTCTGTGTAAATAAAATAAATTGAAACTACTCCAAACAAAATAAAATAAAACTTACAGAATTTATTTTGTTGAACCAAATAAAATCAAAAGACCAAATCGAGTGTGTGACACTCTGTCCTTAAGATAGATTCGTCCCGCTATGGTGCTTACGGTTGAGTGGGGTCTATCTCCCAGGATACAATGATCTTCACAAACTTGTAGTAGCACTCCACACAAATTTGTACGGCGAACTAGAACCATGTGTTCTTACTCTCTGAATTTTATTCTAAAACTAAAATGAAGAATAATGCACAAAATAAAATCTGGACAGCAAAAAGACAACTTGCAGACTCATTTTCGGATGTCAAGACTGTTGGAAAATGGCTGGTATTTATAGACAAATAATTTTGTCCGATCAGGTGTGTAAACTGCCTGTACAGATTCAAAATGGAAACTAGACAGATCTTGAATCTGTCCGAATTTGAACAACACTGTGGACAGAATTTTTGGATATATTTTTATCCACCAAAAAACTGCTGGAACAAGTCTAGTATAAATAGACTCGAACAGGTGCTTCATTTGAAATGAACAGATATGGATTTCAAAAGAACAGGTGCATCAGATAATTGAATCGGTCGACAGACTGTAACTGCTGGACAATTTGAAAACTGTCCAAATTTGAACCTGTAACTGCTTGGGCAGTTTTGAAATGAATCTGTTCGAAAGTCTGTATGAATTTTGAACAGTAAGAGGCACAACTTTTGGACTAAAATTTGAATTCAAATTCAAATTAAAATTCCCGCAATAATTTTGTTCAAAAAATTAATATAAGAACCGACCCGACCCACAATCCCGCCCAGCACGATCGGGCGGAGCGCGCGTGTTTGTTGGTTTGGGCTAAGGTTCACTTTTTCCATAATTCCTCCCTTCTACAAACTTGGGGTGCCCCTTGGGGCCCAACCCAAATATTGTAGGTTAGAGCTTATAAACTCAACAAAACTCTCTTAAAGTTTGAATGTGGGACAAGCCGCACAAGGAAACCCACATTACAAACTTTAAATGTTCATTTCACGAAGCTGAAAACGACGTCATGTTCTCATTCACTCATAAATGATTTTGACGAACCTTCTTCACCGTGTGACTTGCCACGCGGCAAAGAACACTTCACCTCTTCGGATCGACTTCAAAAGACGTTTGGGGCTCACTCAATTTTAGGCTCAAAGTGGCCCAAAATAAGCCTAATAAACCAATTTTTCCAACAGTTAATATTTAGGAAATCTCTGGTAGGAATAGGATTTCTCTCACATATAGCCTTCGTTTGGGAAGCCCAAAATTGGGCTTTTTTTATTTTTTAAAATTTTTTTTATATTATTTTAGTCACAAAAAATAAAATAAGTTTTTTAATTTAATAAGATAAAATATCACATCCCATTCATAATTATTACATTTTTTCTCTCACAAAAAAAAATCAAAAAAGTCAAAAAAATTAAAAAAGTCAAAAAAACCAAAATACTTTCCCAAATTAGACTTTTTGACTCCACACTAAAATAGCTAAAAAAAAAATTAAAAAGCCAAGTTTTTTTTTTATAATATTCCCCAAAAAGAAACTATTTAGAGAATTGACCCGCTTTTTAAACTATTTAGGAAACTAACCTGCTTTTGAAATTGCATTTTAAAAATGAAAATTTGAAATTAAAATTGCATTTTCAACATGTAATTTCAACTTGAAATCGCATGTTGAACATGTAATTTCACCATATCATCATTTTCAACTTGCAATTTTAAGGTGAAATTGCGTGTTCAAAATGCAATTTCAATTTCAAAATCGCATTTTGAAAATACAATTTCAAAAAATAGATTAATTTCTTAAATAGTTTGAAAAGTTGGTCAATACTCTAATTAGTTTTTTTTTTTTTTTTTGAAATATTTAAAAAAAAACTCAGAAACGAAGGCCAGTGGTGCATATTTTTTGTAGTACAAAAGCAATCTTGCTTTCTGAGTCTGAGTTAGTTGAGCTCATAGTTGAGTTGTGATTTTATTGGCTGCTTTTGGTTCATCGTCAGTGGAAAAAGCCGAGAACACGATGAATTCCGACAAAGCTGAGAAGACAATGAATTCCGAAATTGAGGCAGTTGAGGCAAAAGCAGTCGAAGATCGAAATCCGACTTTGAGTGATGAGTCGAGAAACAAGAAGGAGAATGGGTGTCATGGCACGCTGCTCGAATTTTGCAAGCATGCTTTGTCCCCGTTCAATGCCCCCTTCCCATGGATTTGAACGTTTCCAGATCGCTTTCTTCTATTGAGAGATACTACTATTCCGACTTGGTTGTTATGTTAGTTATACAAATTTTATGTTTTTTTCTCACATGTTTTTTGGATAATTTTAATTTTTTTTTTTAATTTGATGTATAAATTTTACCACGTTACTTAGTATTATTGTTATTTTATATTTTTCTTGGATAAGAAGCTTATATAATGATGTTAATTATGATATTCATATATTTTTAAAATTATCATAATTTTATTGATTTTTTTAAAAAGTAATAATTCTAGTTAATATTAGTGAAATATGTAACTATAATAACGATATACCCAAGGGTAATTTTATTTTTATTTTTTTTGAACTAATAATGTAGTTTGAAATTGGTTTTTTCAATGATGTTTTATTCATTTTTTTTTAATTTTTAATAAATTTTTTTAAAATTAAAAAAATTAAATTTATAAAATCTACTCTATTAAAGAAAATAGAAAGTAAAAATAAAATAAAAAAAAAAAACTGAAAAAGAAAATTATAAATGAAAAAAATTAATAAGATTTGTTAATGTTTATGCGATTTGAAACTAAAACCTCTAACATTCTTATAATTACATGAATTATTGGGCCAATTATCTTGTCCCTCAATTAAGAAGTATAGGTCAAAGTTATATCCATCAATAATAATAAATAAAAATAAAAAATAAAAACAATAAAAAAAAAAAAAAATTCATTAGGATCACCAAATGAATACCCCAAGCTGCCTCACAGTGATGTTGTAAATTACATATAAATTAATTGCTTCTAATGTATATCGTGATTCCAAAATTTTTCATAATCTTTTCACTTTTGTAGTACGAACTTGAATGTCTGCCAAACTTGGTATTGTTTACCTCTTTGATCGTCAATGGATTCTAATTAAAAGTAAAATCTAAAAGTACTTATTTATATAATTAATTTTTTATTACTAAATTATAAATTAAAGTTGTACCAAAGACACACACACAGACACAAATACCTATAAATTAGGAATGGACATTAGCCCGCACAGCTTGCTTAGCCCACACTTATTTTTTAAAGGTTTGAAAAGATTGTTTTAGTCTATAGGAATAGATTGAGCCAATATTTTTAACTCAATACATTAATGGATTGGATTTAAAATTTATACTTTCAATTCAACCCAATCCGGCCCGAACCATTGTCAAATAAATTAATTAATTATAATATATATGTTTGGTTTGTGTTTGAGAGATGTGTTTTAGAGATAAAAAGTACGAAAACATGTTTGGTTTGGTTTTTTTTAAAAGATGTTTTGTAATTATAATATATGAAAAAATATATTGGCCTTGTTTGGTTTGTGTTTCTCAAAAAATTTTGAGAAAAATTCTCTACAAATAAGTTTTCAAAAGTAGTCAAACCAAACAAATTTTCCCAAATTTTTTTTCCAAAACTTGTTTGGTTTACAAGTTTTCCAAACAAATCTCTCGCTCATACACATCAAATCAATTACTTTTTCCAAAACTCTCTCAAAATAATTTTTCAAAACATCTTTTGAAAAAAAACTAAATCAAACAAATTTTCGTACTTTTTATCTCAAAACAAGTTTCTCAAATACAAATCAAAATCCACCCCTACTATAAACAACTGGAAGAAGAGCAGTGTCTAACAAGCCTTTAATAACATGTTTGTTTGTTCTGGTGCCGGTTGACTCCATCGGAGTGTTTTGAGAAGTTGATAAAAAGTTAATTTTTTTGGTTTTTTTTAGTCTATTTTATCTTTTTGTGAGTAAAAAATGTAAGAGGTAATGTGACCCAAAATAGGTAAAAAACTAAAAGCTAACTTTTTTAGTGCTTCTCAAAAGACCCCATAGTAATGAGGGTTGTAATGGTTAATATTTTGGTATGCAATTTATACCGTATGTAATTCAACTATAAAATTATGTAAATCTTTACAGATTTACATAAGTGATCTAACAAAAGTGTAAAAGTTTCACGCAAATTCAAGTCCACAAAATTACGTAAGTTAGTTTTTATGAACTTACATAAGTGGTATAAAAAAAATACATAAGTTGAACAAAAATTCGTATAAGTTCACTTTTATAAATAGACTTGCAAATTTGTATTAGGAACTTTTGTAAGATTACTTATATAAATTCGTAAAAATTTACGTACTTTTACGACAAAATTATATATGGTGTGCATTAGAATCACCATATCTTTATATGTAATCGACGAAAATTAAAAACAATATCAAACTGTTTGACACATTCTTGATTCAAATAAAGATATGGAATCACCATATATAATATTCAATATCATTGCCAATGAAGGTTAGTTAAGTTGGTAAATATTAGACTCTTCACCCTCAAGATTTAAGTTTGATTCTCGCAGCGAGCAGTCCTTTTTGATAGGTGATCTATAAGTCCAATGTATATCTTCGCTAAAGCCTACGACTCCCCTCACCTAAATTTTTTAATGCAAAAAAATAAAAATTAAAATACAACATCACTATAAGGCAACTTGAGGTATCATATAATGCATAGAAACAATTACGCCAAATAACACTTAGCACACCCCCTTTTTTATGTTATAAAGTACTGTACATTACAAAGGCTTCAACCAAGTTAAACATTGATAATTAGACAATAGAAAGTAAAAATCTCACTTCCCTACTCAATAGTCACTTTCTCCAATTTATTTAAATTACTTTTGCATTATAAGTTATAAACAAAAACTGCATTAAACACAGATTTTCAAAAAAAAGTAATATGCAGTTCGACAGGTTACACCAACCAACCCCTATCACCACTTGCCAAAATATCTACTCTTGTGAAGACGAGCTCAAAGAATCGAACAACGAAATCCTCCGCCTCTTGTTTGGAAGTGTAGTTCTTGGCGAGTACTCTGTCGTGGCAGCACCCTTATCTATGATACTGCTCAAAGCCCGATGAACAGAGTTCACGAGGAGTTGGCACGCCTCAGCATTGTCCCCATTTGTGTCTTTCCTGCTGGTGAAAACTAAAACGTTTTTCACTCGGCTTCCCAAGGTCGATATATCTGCTTTCACCATATTCAGATGAAGGGCATCAAGAGCTTGCTTGAGTTCGGAGAGAAGTTCAGGCCGGTAATCGCAACAGAGAGATACCCTCAATGAAATATTTTTGTCTCCCTCGGTATTTGGCTCGGGCTCGACTCTTACCTCGTCAGCGTCCATCGGAATAATTAAACCTTTACTGGATTCCGTTGCAGTTTTCTTCAGTTGTTTCACTTGGCTTATAACTTCCGCAAGCAATGTAGCTTTGTCCATCTATGAGCAACAATTCAAACACAGAGAAAGCTCAAATCACATCATGGAAATTACTATGAACAATAAAATGTTTTTTTTCCTCCTATTAAAAAATTATAAAAAAAAAATGAAATCCTTTTTCTGTTTACTTGACATACATGTATGCATTCAATAAACTTGCACCGTGGATTCACAAATCACAACTGCATATAATCAGGGGCAATATCAAAATACACCTGCAGGAATTATTTAAAAAAAAAAAAAAAAAAAAAAAACATAGTGTATTGATAAGGAAAACAATTCATGGAAATCTACTTCCAGCAGATAATCTCTCTCTCTCTCTCTCTAGTTTTCAATGAAATGATTGAGAAGTTATTGATTATCAATAAAAAAAGAAATAGAAAAAAACAGAAATTGATAATCAGGAAATCGAGCTAAATTTAATTTCAGTTGTTCATCACTTTCAGTTGCAACAGAACTTTCCCAATAGTTCAATAACGAGCAATTTAATTAGGAAAGTTTTCCAGCCAACACATCGTAACATGAAGATCACATGCGAATAACAGTGATTTAAAAAAATAATAATAATAATATTTGTAGCGTCAACTAGAGATAGTTTTACTCTACTGACAAAGGCACAAGCAATATGTGCAATAAACATCAATGCTGCCTACAAATAAATAGAAGTTTAAAAAAAGAGGTTAATGGTTTCCATATTGATCAGCTTGCCATCTTAACAGCAGAATTGGCTCAGTCAACTGAAATCCATAGAGAACACAGTTGCGAAAAGTGAATAATTCAGAAGACACCTTCCATTTGGTCAACTTTTGCAAGCTTGAAAGATGACATGAAAAGCTAGTTATTATTTTGAAAAACAGATTATAAAATTCAATGGCAGTTCTTCTCCCAAACGTCAGTTTATTGCTTACGTTCTCAACCAACATAAAAATATCACAATTACTAGTCAAACAACACAAAATATGATGGGCGATCCATATCTCACCAGCTGGCATACTACCCCACATCCAATCATAATCATGCCAATCACTTATCAATACATATACGGCCTCCTAACTAATGTAACCTCTGACACTGAGAATTTCTTAATTATATTAGTAAGCAAATCTATACATAGATGTATTCTAGCTAAATCACCATAAGATCATCAGATGTAATACTACGTCAAATTTGGTAATAAATTATTGCTTTATTTTGTTGCGTAAAGGTGCATGTCACTTTACATTTTACATTTTACATTTTACATTTTAATAAACTAAGATGAAAAGACTTTTGTTAGCTAGATAACAATCTCTCTCTCCTTACTTCAAAAGTTGTCGCATGCAAAGATCAAAGATATTAACGATGATCCTCAAATTCAATAATAAAGTCTTCACTGAAACCTAAACTTATATAGTGCACATCACCGAATTATTATTAATTGTCCAAAAAACACAAACATATATCATCATTCGAATAGCAAGATAATCTTGCCAAATTTCATACAGAAAATTATGTTGCATTTGTAAATACTTGTAGTTACTCCAAATGATAAAAATATACCCATCTTTAGGGATTGTTTGGGATGACTTAAATAAGTGTACTTTTTGTCTTTTAGCGAAAAGATGTGCAGAAAAGTAGAGAGATGATGTGATGGAAAAAAGATAAAAAGATAAAAAGTGTGTACTTATTTAGGATAGCCAAACTTGGCTGTAATAACTAGAAAGCATCTCCAATCCTTGACTCAAACCCATATCAAATTTAAATTTGGATAAAAATTACTTAAAACACTCTCCACTCCTTCACCCAAACTTATACTAAATTGAGTTTTCCTCAAATTTTTATTCGAAATCAACTGTTTACCCAAAATTTTCAAAGCTATTTTGTGGCCCTCAACCACTGCTATTAATGAAGCTTTTACTCAAATTTTTGCTTCAATTTGAGGTAGTCCATTGGAGTGGTTTATATAAAAAAAACGCTTTTACTCAAATTTTTACTGACTTTTATTCAGATAATTAAGTTGGAGAATTGATATGCCTATATTATGAGTGAAGCCCATAACAATTGACCACAATTTATTAATCATCAAAATCTAAATAATTCATTAGGAAGAAACTAATATCTATATATGGAAACTCTATGGGTTCCCAAATCCTGAGTAAAGTCAACTCATTGTTGTCTAAATGTTGATGTTTGATTGCAGGAAAGAAAAAAACAAAAAAAGGTTCTTTTTTACTTCATGATAAAAGTAAAAATAATTTGAAAAAGTGTACCATATCTGAAAAAAATAAATAAATAAATATATAAAAAAAAAATCAGAACCCCAATTGTTATTTATATATACAGAGCCTTGTTAAGGAAGGAATGTCATGTTGGGTTCACAAAATCACTTCAATCACTCACGACAACTCAACAAATGTGGTCAATGAAAAAAAAAAAATAATTCAAATGAGAAAAAATAACCATAGTGCCAAGTGTCTTAGATTCTATTCAATGCTTGAAAACAATTGTAGGAATAGAATCAAGAAAAGAACCAAATCAAATACAAAACCATTCATAACTTGTCTTGCCATTAGTCTAACTATCCAAGAAACTACATGTATCACAAGATAGGTAAAACAGAATAACTGCAAACAACAAGAAACTCTCACCTTCCTGTTAGCATGTTCTCTAAAGCATGCCATCATGATGTTCCATAAGCTGGAAGGTTCTTAAGGCTGAGTTTCATTAGAATAAACGTGGTGGAAACTAAAGAAAGCTGATTTTTTTAATTTCTTGCAAAATACACAGGAAAACAAAAGAAAATTTAAATTCGTGCTTGCAAGAGATTACTTATAATTTAAATTTAAAATCTCTCTTTTTCTTGCAAAAATTTCATCCCAATCAATGCTTGCAAGAAGATATACTTTCCTTCTGTTTCTTTTCTTTCGCTTCTCTTTTTACCACTTTCACTTTCCACTATTTTGTATTTCTAATCAAAGGGAGACTGAAAGTAAAATTACATGAAATCAATAACCCCAATCACCAGATTAAGCAATCTATTCTATCTCTTTCCTAATAAAATTTCATTAGAGCAAATGAATATGCAATATGAAGATTAAAATCAACAAACTATACAAAATTATAACATAATAAGACTATACTAACAATAACAAATCAGCAAAAACTACTATTGATCATAAATTTACCTTTTCAGTGCAAGGCACGAGGCCGCGAAGCGTGGCGAGATGAGCATTAATCCTCTCTCTCCTCCTCCTCTCTGCCTCACTATGACTCTTCAAAGCAGCCATAACTTTCTCCTCTGAAGCCCCACTTTTCTTCCCAACTCTCACTGGTGGAGTCTTCACAAGCTCACCCCCTTCACGATCCAACACCAAAGATTGCGAAAGCGACATCGACCCACCTCCCCAATTCTCACTAAACCCACCTAAATTCTCAAACATCCCCAAACAATTGGACCCAAAACCAGAATTGCTCGATTTCCAAGAATATAAACTCATATTTCAATATAATTCAGAGTATAAAAGTATAGAAATTAGCAATATAACTCTAAGGATCGTCGACACCAGGAGGGCGAGTGGTGGGTGCGAACCAGAAAGAGAGGATTCGAAGGCGAAAATTGAGTTTATGAGAAGTGGGTAGTGATGTTGTGGTGGTTGTGTGTGTGGTCATACCTTCCATAACGCGAAAGAAGACAAGTGGGATTGTTTGTGAGAAGAGATCAAAGAGAGAACATCCACATTTTCTTCTTCATAGTCTTGAATTGGAGCATCTTGATGACGAAAAACGATGAGACCCAGTTGAGGAAATCGATGAATATACAAAATGAAATCGAATCAGAACCCTAGAACATGTATATATGTGCGTGTAGATGTGCACAGAGAGAGAGAGAGAGAGAGAGACGGGTTTGTATAGGGACTTTTTGAAGAAGAGTTTCAGAGAGATGAGACAAATGAATGGAAAGAGAGAAGTAATGTTTGGACTTATATAGCGACTGCTTGTTTGGACTTTGCGGCCGCTTCTATTTCTTTATCAAATTGACAAATTCTAACCAAGTGAGTGGCATTGTTTTATCTTAAAATATTTTTCTTTTAGTATTTTTATTGGAAAATGATTTGTAGCACTAAAAAAGTTGTTCCTAATATCTCTAATTTCTAATTTTGGAAATTGTTTTCTTTTTTTCTTTCTTTTTTCCTTTTTTTTTTACCTGAAATGGAATTTCGGGGCATTCGGGCTCCCCATTTCGGGCCCTCAATCACTGCCCATTTTTATTTTGCTATTTAGAATTCCTGAGACAAATGAATGGAAAGAGAGAAGTAGTGTTTGGACTTATATAGCGACTGCTTGTTTGGACTTTGCGGCCGCTTCTATTTCTTTATCAAATTGACAAATTCTAACCAAGTGAGTGGCATTGTTTTATCTTAAAATATTTTTCTTTTAGTATTTTTATTTTGCTATTTAGAATTCCTATGAGAGTTAATTTTTTTAATCCTTTTTTTAAAATTTTTATAAAAAAAATATAAAAATGTAAAGAGAATAATTTATCTTCCTTTTAATTTTTTTTTAATTAAAATGTATGGTTCCCAAACATAGTTCAAAAAATTGCAAATAATTTTTTAAAAAATATATTTTTCTTTGTAATTTTCAAAATAATTTCTATTAAAAATTCTGTACGTCATTTTTACATAATTCACTTCTAAAATACGTCTTTTTAACCATTTTCAATTTTTTTTTTAATTTTAATTTTTTTATTTTGTTTGTTTTTTGTGTTCAAGAGCATGTGATTGTAAAACTTTTTATTTATTTATAAAGAAATTATTTACAAATATGAGGCCAATTATATTGGCTAAATAAGCATAATTTATCAAAACATAAATAAGCTCAACTAACGCAATAAAAAAGACATAATGGGAGCTCTTCTATTTATTCCCCCCCCCCCCTTCCAAACCCATTGTATGAGAGGAAAGAATGAAGGAGTTATAATTTATTTTTAAAATAACTGAAAAATAATTTGTTATTTATTAGAATTTATTGAATTTTGTTAATTATTCTTAATTCATTAAAAATTAAATTAAACACTAAACAAGTTTTTATACAAATTTTTTCAAAACTTCTTTAAACAAAAATGTTACTAAATGGGGCCTAAACTATTAATATTATTTTGAATTTAAGTTGTGATATAAATATATTTATATTTATTAATTAATTAGCGACATGCTTGGGTTTGTATTATTAATTTTTCTTGAGTGGACTTGACATTTTAATTTAAATTTGAGTATGGAGTTGGGCTGAATTTGAATTAGTACATATTATATTATTATATAGAATAACCTTGATGTGCCATATGCCCACCCTAATTGTAGTGCCCTTTTTCCCTCCCCGCACCATTTACAAACAATTGCCACCTACCACTATTGTCCATCTCTTTGCAACCTCTTCCTTGCCACTCCCATCCATCTATCATATCTCTCCCACAACTGCACCCCTTGTCCTTTCCTCGTTCCTTTACTCTTGCTACCCCTTTCCCTTCCCTTTCGCCTTCGATCACTCTCCTAATGTCAGTACCACCTTCTTCACCACTACACAACTTCAAAAATAAGTTTAGATTTTCCATCTTCCACTGTTATTCTTTCATTTGGCTCCATTACTATTTTGCGAATGAGATGACAGAAAAAATAGGAGCTACCCTGAACAATTCAGGGCTTAGGCAAAAAATTTAGGTAAGGCCCATCCATCAGCTCTAGTTAATTTTTCACTAATTTTAAAAATATGAAATCAACTTAAACTAAAAAAGTAAGTGAAAAAAACTGAATTGCTAAAGGAAAAAAAAAAACCTATAATTTTAAATTTATTATATCTATAAGAACAAAATTTTAAACTCATAGAGTCTATTAATTAAAAACACAAATAGTAAAAAATGTGCTTATAGATAAGGGCAAAATGGTAGAACATAATTGAAGATAATTGAAAAATTATAGTCCCATGATCTTGTGATTATTACTTAAATATATTCGAACCAACCGAGCTCAACAATAAAGAAAGAAAAGATAATAATCACAATACAAAGATTTTTACGTGAAAAAATCACAGTTGGAATCCACCAACATGTGATTAAAAGACCACGAGCCCTCGGCCACAATAGCAATCCACAATGAAGAAGAGTAATACAAGACCTTTCTTGCACCGACCAATCCAGACACACGTGCTTGCTTGAGACCTACAAATATTTGACCTCTATTCTTCAATCCATGGATATCCACCTTCACTAGAGAGATGTCGAATCCACGACACACTCACATCTCAAGAACACTCATGAACTATTTTGCGATTTTGGTTTAGACTTGATAATTTCCTTGAAAGAAGAAATGAGAATGAATCATTAAGTAACACATGAGAGAAATATACAATGTAATCTAACTATAGCTCTCTTTCAAAAGACCCACAGACTCAAGGGATCCAAATAACACAACCGAACAAGCCAGATATAAATAGACATTAGGCCTTCGGGGGCGTGAGCCTCATGGTCACTAGACCTCCTTTGCAAGTTGTAGTAAAAAAATGCTGGGAGTATGTTTTCATTATAGCCTGGACCGCGTCCTAGTCCCGGCCGTTCAATCCCCTATTAGCAGAAGCGAGTATGTGTTCGTGGGCACATAACTGACCTGAAGATAAAGTATTGAGAGCTGATTTCCTTTGTGACTTGGTCGCGGCCTTGTCACCACCGACAAAAACACATCGCAGGCTCGATTAGGAGATTCGCTGGAGCGAATGAGAATGTTAGACCAGCTACAAATTCTGATTTTTGCAGTCTTTCTTTTCTCCATGTTTTGAGGCACAAATTTCGTGCTTTCTTATCAGACAACCAGCCAACCTTGATCCCATGCTTGCCAAACAATTCAAACCTACACTTTTGAGAAAACCAAGAATAATATATTGATAAGATAAACATGCAACAAAGATTTGTTTTGTCAAGGGGGAAATTGTCAAAAATCCTAACAATCTCTCCCTTGGCAATTTCTGAGACAAAACATCATGTGTTAATCCTGCATGAAACAATAGATAGACAACCCAATATATATATGCAAAATCCACCAACACCAAAATATAAAACCAAACTAGATCTTTTATAAATCCAAAATCAACACATCCAATGTTTAGAATAGACAATCCATCAACAAACTATAGAAAACCAACAAATATCCAAAACCTAAATAAACATCCAAATACCAAACAATACATACTCCCATTTTTTGTTCAAAATTGACAAAGGGAGAGCATACAACCAAACACTAAAAGACAAATAGAATGCTCAGCTGAAAACAACCACAAAAGTACTCATGAAGAAGGAGGCTGGCGAAAAAAAGAGCACAACTCGCGTATTTGATCAACAAGAGAGGAAGTAGACCGGTCAAGGCGATCAAAGCGAGCCTCCATATGAGCCATACATCCCCGCATCTTATCCTGAAAGGCAAGCTGAGAGGCTTGCATTTGAACCAGCTCATAGTTCTAAATCGCGGTATCGGGTAACGTAACGGTATCGATCGCGAAGTATCGGTATCGGTAGTATCGGCTGATACGTATCGGGAATCGGGTGTCGCTGCCGTGAAATTTTAGAAATCATTAGCAATCCCTCTAAAACTCAATTTTATGCATTTTTTTTTACTCTTTTAGCCTTAATTTGTCACATTTTAATCAAAATTTTGATATGTAGGAGCACTTTTTACTCATTTTCAACTAAATGATATATATTTGTTTTAGTCTCAATTATAACTTTGAATTATCTACAATAACAAATTTCAATTCACAAATATTGTAATTCTAATTTACTTAGTAACAATAATATATTTAAAATAAAAATAAAAATCTGATTAAAATAAACAACTTTTAAAAAAAAAAATTCTAAATCTTAAGCATTTACACCAAAGCAAGACACAAATTAAAAAAAAAAACAAAAACATAGCACCAAAAAATAAACAAATAAATAAAAAAATAAAAAACCAATAACAAACCTTTCCACTAATCCAAGCTTTTGATAGATTTGATTTGAATATTTATTATTATTATTTTTTTATCCCTTGCTTTGCTCAACCGATATATATATATATATATATATTAATATAAACAGTGGTGCAGTGTAGGTGTATAAACAAAAAAAAAAAACGAGGGAAAAAAAAAACCGTAAACAGAGCATAGCAGCAGTGGTTCACCAAAATACAGAGCACAGCACAACAACTCACCAAAAACAAAGCATAAATACAAATTATAACTTGCAACTCAGAGACAAACCGTCTTTGAAGAAGCTTGAAGATCAAAGTGAACTCCACAGCCCAAAGAAGTTTAGATTTTGCAGGTTTTCTGCACTGGTTTTCATCTGTACCGATGGCAACCAACGTGTATTGGACTGTATCGTCATATGTATCGGATTCAGGCCGCCACGTACCGGGACTCGGACATTACGACTGCGAATTTCATTCTCACCGCTATATCGGTCCATATCCGAATCGGTGCTTCAATTTTTCGGTACGAATCGGCCGATACGTACCGTACCGGCCGATATTTAGATCTATGAACCAGCTAGTCCTGAAGAGACGAGTCATGCTCCCCTTCGGCTGGTACACCAGCAATGAGCTCCCTCTCAATAGCTGCACCAGCAACAACAGTACCTCCCACACGCCATGTCGACCTAAAACTCTACCAGCTCTCCACCGCACATGGGCATTGCAGAGGCTAACAGTCCATTTGGAGATAGGCAGACCAATATCAACAATGTTGTTATCCAGCTTAGCAGATGCATCATGGAAAGAATGAATGGTAGTGAGAAGAGATCCATAGGGAAGCCCAAGTTTCTTTTTGCCAGAGAAGATACCCTGCATATGGTGAAAGATAACAAGAGGAAGATCAATGGATAGATTCTGACTGATGCAATACAGAAAATATCCTTGATCCTGGTTGA